TCATAAATGTTCTTAGACACTTGAATCACTTAAATACTGATTCTTGTGCGGCACCAAGTACGTTTATCGGACAATTTAGAAATCGCGATACTTTAATTACGTTCGCGCTTATCTCCACAATCGTTTTGCACCCAGCTCCAGGTGTGTTATTTATATTTGACAATCCAAAGATTGAAGTCTTTTGGAATTCCAAATTTTATTGAAAGTGATGCAGAAGCTGATAAAAAAAGATTGGATTATGGACTACAAATTATAGATTCATAATCTTGTGGTATGACTATTTTGTATGCTACTGTATGGTTTGTGTATTGGCTCTTGGCAACAAACAGTGGCCCTCAAACTGTGGCTCGTCACTTGGCTTAGCCGTGCTACAGTTGCACCACAACCGCGAGTGTGTCAAGCGGGTAATTGACTGCTCTGTTTACCCGTTAACCGATTTACTATGGCTTCTACTGCATGCGGTTATCGAAGCAGAAGTACTTCACTTAGAAGCAGTTGAATTCCAATTGGGCAATGCAACGCGACGGCTAGCAATTAAGCTGATCAGATTCTGTTTATTATTTATTTCTATCACAGTGAAATATGGACAGCATAGACAAGGTGGACACCAGTTTTATTCCCGATCTGCCAACGGGCGGAGGTCTTGCTGTCTACCGCAAGCGCGCTAATTTTGATTGGAAGCGTTTGCGTTTGATCTTCGAAACGGAGCAGGGTCTGCGCATCAAGGTGAGTTAAAGATTATTCAAGTTGTCACTTAATTGCAATTCCTCTCAAACTGCAACTGATCTAATTTCATTCCATTCCCTCTTATCCAGTACAATGTGTGGCGTCGCCTGGAAAGTGATCCGCTGTTTGCACACGCCTCCCGCACCCTGCCAATGGACGAGCAGAAGCGGGTGGTCGCGATGCAGGTGAATAGCATGAAGCAAATGGATCTGGTGCCCAAGGAAATCGAGAGCCTGAACTTCTCGTCCAAGACAAAGTATTTGATGTACATCAACGAGGCGCTGAACAGCTACTCGCCCAGCTTGTCCGTGAAGATAGCGCTGGGCGTGGGCCTGTTCAACAATGCGATTAGGGCGTTGGGCACCGAGAAGCATACTAAGTATATTGACGCCGCCTGGAACCGGGAGATCATCACCTGCCTGGCCGTCACGGAGGTCTCGCACGGCAGCAACACAAAGCGAATTCGCACCACCGCCACCTACGATCCCAGCTCGCAGGAGTTCGTGATCAACACGCCGGACTTCGAGGCAGCCAAGTGCTGGGTGGGCAACCTGGGCAAAATGGCCACCGTGGCCGTGACCTTTGCCAATCTGATCACAGCCGACGGTGAGAACCACGGACTGCATGGCTTTCTCGTACCCGTTCGCGACCCGAAGACATTGATGCCTTATCCGGGCGTGCTGGTCGGCGACATTGGCGAGAAGAGCGGCCTGAATGGCATCGACAACGGCTTTGTGGTCTTCACCAACTATCGCATACCACGCGACAATCATCTCAATCGGACGGGCAACGTGACGCCCGAGGGCGTCTACGAGAGCGTCTTCACGGATCCCGGCCAGGCACTGGGCGCCGCCCTCGAGAGCTTCTCGGCGGGGCGCATCGGCATCATGCAGGAGTCGGCCAACACCCTGTGCAGCGCGGCCGTCATCGCGGTCCGCTATGCCGCAGTCCGCAAACAGTTCGGCCCGGAACGGGAGGGCGAGGAGATGCCCATCATCGAGTACCAGCTGCATGTAAGTGGAGTCGTATGCCTCATCCATTCTCTAGGTCTAAGGCTCGTCTCTTTCTCTCACAGCAATATCGCATTTTCCCCTACTTGGCCTGTGCCTGTGTCCAGAAGATTGCCGTCGAGGAGCTGACCAACATATATCTGCAGATCATCGCCCGCTCCCAGGCGGACTCGAACGGATTCGACATATTGGTAGGTTGAGTTGTCGCAGAACCGAGCAGCCACTGTAAAAAGCACAAACATAAAAGAAATTTTTAGTGCAAGTCGTGAATGAATTGATATTTTTATACCCTGAAACCATTGAAAATGGGAAATTAGGGTATAATGGTTTTGTGAATAAGTATGTAACGGGCAGAAAGAGGCGTGGCAGACCCCATAAAGTATATATATTCTTGATCAGTACGACGAGCTGAGTCGATATCGCCCTGTCCATCTTTCCGTCCGTCCGTCTGTCCGTATGAGTGCGTCGATCTCAGAAGTTATAAGAGCTAGAGAGCTGAAATTTGGCATGCATACTCGTGTGTACCATACGCAGTACAAGTTTATCATATTTTTTCTATAACTCATCCGATAGCTTTTTGATCGAGAATAATCGAAAAATTGATTTGGTTTTGTTCAGCCTAATTTAAACACTTGTGGACCTAGAGGCTTCAGATTTACTGTATATCGAGTTGATCGATACAAAGATTTTTTAATTTTCAGATTTTGGATACCACGCCCCCTTTCCTCCCAATTTCTAAAAAACGCATTTCAAGTACTATAGACTTGTGCTCTAGAATATACACACATTTTAACCAAATGATTACGCTCTGAAAGTTTCATTAAGATTGTATGTCTACAAAAGAAATTATTCAGCAGAGCGCGTGATCATAGGTGCGTGTGGATGCGTGTGGATGCGTGTGTATGCATGTGTGTATAAAAGAAGTGCAGAATGAGTAGAATATCAGCTTAGAGGGTTCAGGGTATCTGCTAGTCGAGCAGTCTCGACTAGAGTCTTCTTCCTTGTTTTGAGTATGTGTCTAGCTACTTCACTTATCTGTAGTCGATAAGGCTACGCCAAGTGCAGGTAGGGCTCCTCGTCTAGACCAACTTTTGACATTCCTTATATATATATATGTTATATTTACTACAAGTTATATTTTATAATTTTATTGGCAATCAAGAATTCTTAGTATTCCTGTCTTGCACAACCAGATCGGAACCTTTCGGAATCATAATATATATTTGTTACTCTTCACCAACTACGACAATATGAGGCAACTAAGAATTGACAAACTTAGAGAAGAGATTCTGATGTTACCAACACAGCATTCAGCATCAGAGTCTTTCATACTTTTATCATATCCAGGCAGCAAACTTGAGGCTTAGTTAGCTTATTCGATACGTATTGCCATAGATCTCCCACGCTCTTCTTGAAATCGTTACTAAATACTTACTCTTAAAACTCAGTCCGATTTCAAATTGTAATACACATAAATCCGGACGCTATAATCATATAAGTTTGCTCATACGGACGCTATAACCGGACTCCACTGAATTTGCTTTCAATTTCGTTTGCAGACCCAGAACGCAGCGGAGATTCACGCGATTATATCGGCATCGAAGCCGCGCATCACGTGGTCGGCGCGCGACGCCATCCAGGAGGCGCGCGAGGCGTGCGGCGGTCATGGATACCTGAACGCCTCCAAGCTGGGCCAGATGCGCAGCGACCACGATCCGCTGTGCACCTACGAGGGCGACAACAACGTGCTCGGCCAGCAGGCCTCCAATTGGCTGCTGCGCCAGTGGAGCGCCAAGGAGCTGGAGTCGCCCATCGGCAGCGTCACGTTCCTGCAGCGTCGCGAGGCCCTGTTGCAGCTGCGATTCGCCCAGCTGCGGCAGCAGAGTCCTTTGGACAGCTGGGAGTGTAAGCGAGCGCGTGAATCAATTTACTGCGGGCGATGGCATTAAATCTGTTTTTTATTGCAGTTGCGCTCAGCTGCTACGAGTGGCTGCTGTGCCACCTGATGGCGCACACGACGGCTCACATCGAGGCGCAGCTGGCCGCCGGAGTGCATCGCTTCGAGGCGCGCAACAACTCGCAGGTGAGGGGCGCGCGGGAGCTGTCGCTGGCCTACGCCGAGTACTTCGCGCTGCGCAGCTTTGTGGCCCACGTGCGGCAGCTGCGGCTGGAGCAGCCGTACGCCCAGGTGCTGCGCACGCTGTACGATGTCTACGCCTTGTGGCTGCTGGAGAGCCATATGACCACGTTCTATGTGGGCGGCTTTGCTGTGGGCGGCGAGTTTGCGTCTGCCGTGCAGCAGCGCCTCCTGCAGAGCTGTGCGCAACTGAAGGACGTGGCCGTGAGCGTGGCCGATGCCATTGCTCCGCCGGACTTTGCACTCAACTCGGTGATTGCGCGTGCCGACGGGCTGCTCTACGAGAATCTGCAGAACGAATTTATGACCAACGAGGGCGCCTTCCAGCGGCCCGCGTGGTGGCGCGACGTGATCATATCCCAGGGCCAGGAGAAGTCCAAGCTCTAAGCCAGGCAGCGGAATGTGGTCAAGTAGGGGGGACAAGTGGATGGGCAGGTCGATCAATCGGTGAACCAATTTAGCTAGATGTATAGCTACTGTTATATAGTCATATCGCATCCAGGTATTAGCTCTTACTGTAACGGTATTCACACCATATATAGGGATTTTTATAGAGGCCTTGTTTTGTGTTATTTCCTTTAATCCTTGACGAGTTTTGTGATTGCAACAAATCCAAGTGAAAGCAATATATATATATATACGAAATTATTGAAAAAAATTAAAAAGAAATAGCGATATTCTACGGTTTCTCTCAGAGTATTACCCACATTCCCCCATTCTGGATGTTGACACGAAAACAATCAACACTTGTTCCTATCAATTATATTACAGTTAAACTGAAACAGCAAATACTATATACATACATATATAAATATATGTGGTATATATTCATGTAAATCCACTATATTAGAGTCTAAATGTTGAAGATCTGTTGCGAGTTGTATGAATAAAAATGCATTAAATCGTTCGACTTGACTTGATTATTTATGAGCCCAAATTGATTTAGTGTAAAGTGGTCCATAGTTTAGGGGCAAAACAAAAGCTGCCTTTTGTTATAATTAGTCGGCTAAGCAAGCATATAGACAGCATTTTACATATTACGCACACACACATTGATTGTAGGTGTTATTGTGTGTGTGTGTGTGGTTAGTGTGCAAAGGTGCTTGTGATTGCTCGATCGGCTCGGTGCGAGCCCCGTTTATAAGAGGACCTGCGCTCACCTGCTCCAGCTCAGACGTGGCCAGCTTGCCACACAGTAAACACGAGCGGAGGTACGCGATCAAAGAGTGAGTGAGAGGGCAACAGTGAGAGGGAGCTCCGAGTGGGATCTGTGAGAGATAGTTCGGCTCTGACACAGCATATCAATTACGATCCAGTGACTGAAACGAGAGACTGAGAACAAGAGAAGGCAGAGTGAGAGAGAGGGTGAGAGAGAGGGTGTATGAGAGATGTGTTAAATATAGACGCTTCGTTTGTTTTCATAACTTTGTTGGCTTTGCGAATCGGCGGCGCAGTTCGATTTGATTTTTTGGCCAGTGTGTGAGTAAGTGAGCTGTGCTGGCTGTGAGAAAGGGCATCTTAGGTCGATAAGGAAAAAACAAGAACATGCTTCAACACTAAAGACATTCAACTTAGAACGCGCCTTGACTGAGGCCAAATCGAACAAAGCCCAGACACACAAAGATATCCATTTAGCTTAGGCTGTGCGAATTTCGAAATCATTTGTTAATCCGCTGACTGGTTTTTGTTGTGTGCTGTCTTTGTGAAGAAAGCTCGGCCATTTAATATTCCGGTATTCAGACAGAAACCATCTAAATATGGTGATCTAGTCAGCAAAAAGCCCCGCAATGAACCATAAACAAGAGCTCTGCCAAAGTGCTACAGTGAAGTGCAACAATAAAATATTCCGAGAGCTCTCATAAGCGCTCAACGAGTGCGAGCGGAATCGCAAATCAAGAAGCGTCGAGCGTTGAATGGAAGTGATGTACAAAATGCGCACCAAATTGCTAAACGTTTTAAAGAACAACAACAAATGTTTTTTTATTAATTGACAAAAAAAAAAGACCAAAAAAAGCAACCAATTAGTGAAACCGGTTTAGAAATCTCTGGTACAAACAAAAATATACGCCAAATATCATACAGAAATCCATTAATTTACATTTTGGGAATTTCCGCTTTGTATTTAGTGATATTCTCACATGTGCCGCCCTCTCGATTAGCCCTCTCTCTCTCGCTCTCGCTCTCGCTCTCTCTCTCGCGCTCGCTCTCTGTCTCTGGTTCGCTATAATTAATAACTCAATAATTGAAAAGTCGTGTAATTGCAATTAAACAAACTTTTATCAAATTTAATTGACGGTTACGTTCAGGCTCGTGTTGGGCTCGGCAAACATCTCCGGTTTAGGGGTAGAGTATACGACAGTCGACTAGAAGCAGTTTTCTCAAGTTAGACTCCAGTTGGACAAGCTCAAAGCTAACAAGTGAGAATTCAGCCAAACAATGGCAATAGAGGATTATTTTCAATTTGCATAGATCGAGAATATTATGAATTATATAAGTGAGACTCATCAACGGCAGATGAAAACAAAACAAAAAACAAATCATCAAAGTCAAGAGCAACAGCCACAGCAGCAAAACGGACCGCTACAGCTCAGCCGAGACCAGTTTCTATTCCAAAATCTATAACATTTGTTGATAATTTTATTTATTTAGTTCTTATTTCTAGCTAAAATCAGACGAATTTTTATATGCAAAGCAAAATTCAGATATAATATGTGGAAACTTTTGCTAATTTGTATCGTCATGAGCGCATTATATACCGAGGGAGATGCTGCATCATCGGGTAAGTACAGTGAGCACTAGCGTATATAACAGATATAAGAAAGATGCGTAATTCTCATTTATTGTCTGCTCCGCTCACCCATCGGAGAAGTGTGAAGTGTGCTGAAGGGTATATTAGTTTCGCATCGATTTATGTAGCAAATGATGTAATTCATTAGGAGATTAAATTCGACGTAGTCGAGTATATAAAATCGTGATGATGCCAGCACATTCAATTTATAGTGTCCGTGATTACGGTCATTTCAATATTAAACAGAAATATAGACAAATATAATACTATGTAATATGAAGAAAGAGCAATGTTAGTTGCAAATAGGAAATAAATAATAGTGATGAAAATTGAAGCAAATCGAATAATATATTAAAAGTAAATAAATAATAATAATAAGGAAACTTAAAATAAAGATAATAATAATGGTGAATAAGTAATAATAATCACAGTGAAAAGTTCAAGAGGAAGACAAATATAATAATATATTATTAATAAATAATTAATAAACTATTAGTAATAATAATAGTAACAAATAAATAATAATCCGAAAAGAAAATTATCACCGATGAATACTATAATAAAATATTTACAATAATAAATGAGATGAAAATACATATGGTGATTTTAAAAAAAAAAAAAATAAATAAATAAATAAAATAAAATAAAGAAATAAAAAATTAATTAAACAAAAAAATATTATTATTTATATAAAATATATCTTTGATGTGTTGAGTGGTGGGTAGATGAGTATTTTAATTAATTTTTTAATATATCTCCTTTTCTGCATATGTCTTCATCGTAAAACTAATCGTTCCATTTTGATATGAAGTGTTCGATTCTATTAGAGCGTCAAATATAAAGACAACTTTCTATTTTATGTTTACTCTTTAGCCATTTCGTTTTCGCACATCTCATTTGACCAGGAATCTATAGACGGCTGTCGCTTGCTTAATTAATTATGAAAATAGAAATAGTAATAATTTTAAAATGCCATGAAATTATTGTAAAAAAATATTTTCTTAATTAATGTAATTTTCATATTCTATTAAAATTACATTCAAAACTTTTTATTCTATTTGATTATAAGTGTCATAAAAATTTTTGTTGAATATATTAATTATTTAAAAATATAATTAACTAATAACAATAATTAATTTTGGGCATTGGACGAGAAAAATAAAAGACGTTGACTTTGAGCCGGATCCTCTAAGCTCATTTGATTAAGCAACAGCAGCACAAGCAATTCATCATCTACTAATTACTCCTGTAATGTGAAGCTAACGAAATGTCGATTGACTTAATGATCCATTGGTATTAGAGATATAGGTACTTAATGTGCCCTGCAGCACTCCCATCAGCTAGCAGGGATTCATTAGGTGTTCATTAATTGGTAGTCTAAATCGTTCACTAATCCCAATTGGATTTTCTATTGCAGCGCGCAAGGTGTCGCGCCGTCGGCGAGGCTACGCCGGTGGATATGCAGGTGGCTACGCCAGCAGCGGGGGCGGAGCAGGTGGCTACACGGGCACCTACAATGACTACGATGACTACGGCTACGCGCCCAACGTTGGCATCACGGATCCCTACCTGTTCCACCAGCAGCTGACCAGCCAGATTCTGGCCCAGAACTATGCAACCCAACAGTGAGCATTTGGTCTAGGCAAATTTCTTTATTGTGAAGGGGGTTTCTGCTGGGGTAGTCTAAGTGGGTATTGGTGGATGGGGATGCTAACAGCGCTTGTAATCTATTCTTGTAGAGCTATAACGGGACTGGCCACGTCTGGCGATGCGTACGCATCTGCGGATGCGACCATAAGCGATGATGACACGTAATTACACTGCTTTCCTAGTACTAACTTCTCCCCCTACTAACCACTAATCCGCACGCTGAGATCGTGGGTGACGCAGTAGCTAACTGAAATCCATGTGCTTTGTGCTTGACAGTCGCATCCAGCAGCAGATCGCCGCCCAGCAGGCCTACCACGACAACCTGGTGCGCCAGAATAGCTACCGAGGCGGCTCCAACTCGCACCGCTATGCGCCCAGCTATGCCCTGGCCTCTGGCACCATCGGCGCCAATGGACACAAGCAAACGGCCTACATCAGTCCGGCTAATCCGGTAAGCGAACGGATTGAGAGTTGACTAGAAGAGCATAATTCAAGCCATTCCTTTGCATTTACAGGCATCGCCCAATATCGTGAACCGTTTCGGCGGCTCCAGCAGCGGCGGTGGTGGCTACAAGGGCGTCTCTGTCTCCTCGTACAGCAGCAGCAACGGCGATGGTACCAGTCGCCGTGGTGCACAGACCACCGTCAACGATAACGGCAAGGTGACGTCGTACTCGGTGCACTCTTAGGGTGGACCCAAACGCGACTTAACTCAGCTCCTGGTGTTTAGCATAACATATATATGATATAAACCTAACGAAAGCTAATCACTCTCTATTTATATGTTTTGAGACACAAATACATAACTACAAATTATATATATATAAATATATATTATATGTATACTCCAAATATATATGTATATTCATTAAGGGGGAAATCTGTATTAATCTGTATTGAAACCAAAAACCCAAATAAGCATAAATTACATATATGTATGTCATACATAGGTATATGTTAAGGGGTTTTCACTGTACTAAATATACAGCAGTCAACTGTTTCATTTGTTTAGGCAGAGGCAACACTCCAATTCAATTTACTTCGGCTTCTCTCTTAGTTAAGCTTTACTGTGTCAATTTTGCTTATTCAACAATTTCATATTCCTTTTGCCTTTCTATAAATAAATTAACTTCGTTTTTATTTATAATATTTGATCTGTCGGGCTTTCCATTTAGGGCTGCCTCACTGTAACAGGTTTGTTAGAAAGTTTCTGTTTCTGTTTCTTTTAGCTTTCTACTGATAATTCCCATCCGTTTGCATAGGCAATCATATGCAAATTTCTATCTCATTTTGTTTTTATTTATAAATTGAATTTATTTTATTTCTGCTCGCCAAAAGCTCATGACCTTGATATTGTATGCTCTATGCATATAAGTGGTAAAACTCGGGCTGATAATAACCTGAGCAAAGTTTATCAGGCCCCACAGGAAATTGTCTGTGTGTAGGTTATGAATTTGTCTCATTATGAACGTAATTTATGGCATCAAGTCAAATCGTTTAGATCATATACAAGTACTATATATAGGTATATTTATATATAGGTGCCCCTTTCTGGCTGCACTAGTCGAAGTGAATATTCGAGTTGATAGAAATTGAAACCAGAATCTTTCAAAATTCCAATTGGCGTTTAGAGTAGACTGTAGCGTGGCAATCGCTTAGAACTGTTCTGATTAGCATTTAGCGGAAGCAATAAAGCTGAAGCTTTTGTTTGTAAACAACTTACATTATTTTTTATTTTTTATTTACAAATCAACCGAAAACTGATTCCGGGAAGTGCCATTGAGAATTCGATTCAAAACGAATGCGCAAAAGTTTCTCAAGCGGAATGAAATCCCACTCAGGTGATTCCCATCACAAAAAACCTTCACTGGCTGCAAGCGACGCGAACTAAACGAAATTGTTTAATAATTTTTTAAATCATCAGAAAGTGTTTACAGTTTAGATTAGACATTTTGTAAACAAATTACCCAAAAATATCATCTCGATGAATAAATGGATGGATGACGGATTAAAATATACTTGAGAGTCTGATTTGCATATTCCACTGCCCCATAGAAATATATGATATGCATACAGTCAAAGATCCATGTAGACCCAATACAGATAGGAGTGTTCTCAGCGTATCTTAGCTGCTTGAAACAGTTTATTTATTTCATTACATATATACTATATATGTATGCTGGAATATATTTATATCTATAAATAGCCTATAGACAGCGGCTATGCTAATTTCACTCACAGTTCCAAACCTTGGTGTTAATTGTTGAATCATTATTGAATTTTTTGGGGCATAGACAAAAACTAGACAAAAAGAATCAAATCAGTTCTAAATAACAATGTCAATCAGATTCGATGAACGGGCACTGTCGGATCTTGAATGTATATAAATTATCTGCATAAGAATCTCACATCTGATACACATTGATATTTAGATAGATCACGCCTTCTTCTATGGATACCTTTTCACAGTATATACATACATATCGTCACATTCCCGCGAAATGATCGTATGTCGAAAACTGTTATTTTACAGGAGAAGCTTTTTTTAATTTTCTCAAAATATAATTGCCTTTTTGCAGATATTTTTTCATAAGTTCTTATTCTATAGTAATTTTTTTTTTTACAACAGCAATTTATTTAAAAATACGATCATTTCGCGCGTCATGTTTTTGGTGCAAGGCAATGTAAGTTCAACATAGCACATGAAAAAATCCTTGTTTATTTGTAAAAAAAGTAAAATTTTTAAAATTTTTTTAGTTGCTTTTAAACTTAAACTTAAGCCAAAAATTCATATAAATCATTTTTTTTCCTTTCAGTATGAGATTAAAGTATACATATGTATGTGATAAAAAGTATTGTATGCGACAAATATCTATATTTTTCATCTTCTTCATCGGTTTCATCTAAGCAATCTGCGATTGTTTCACAATTTTGATTTACATATTTACTATGATATAATCTAAAAACTTCTTTTAAAGAAATTACATAATAATTTCGCAATTATGCTTGCGACTTGATGCACTAAAACTCAACGTAACACTAATTCGAGCTTTCGCAGCTTCTTATCTGCTTCGTATGGACATACGATAGTTTCGCGCGCACACAAAATGTTAATACATATACGTTTAACACATTTAAATTGAAATTGATTTTTTTTCCCGAAATTAAAGCGAAATCAGTTCTTATTTTTATCCAGTAGCCGATCTGCATTAAAATCTCAATTTCGGCGAAATTCAACATTCGATCATTTCGCGAGAATGCGATGATTTGTTTAAGTTAAGCGCTCTCGCACTATGAATGTCTGATTAGAGACTCCAGCCTCATAAGACAGTTTTAACTTATATAGCCTCCTAGACAAAGCTTAAGGCATATAAAAGCAAGCCGAAGGCCCCAGCTGCCAGTGCGTATCCTAGGCTAGGTTTAATTTTATATTATCTCTAACTTGTTAATAAATAAACATAATATATTATTATCATAAAAATTAAATAAATATTCATTATAAATATTATATATAAAGAATAGCAGTGTTGCCAACTTTTGTTGAGCTAAAAAAAAAAAAGCTGATGATTTTTGCTTTGATTTGATTGATATTTAAATATAGTTTTAGTAACTGGAAGTCATGGCAGCAGTTCTTTACCCGCGGCAAGCCATATCTATATAGTTTTACACTATGTATGTTTGACCTGACGCTTAAAATTGAGTAAGCATATCAATATTCATTTTATTGCGTAGCTATGTTTTCACAATGTTGACCTGACTAAAACTTCTTTCCACTTGCGCGTTTGACCATGCCAAGGAAAGCAATGTCATTGCAAAAGTGGCCCTTCATTTTTTATTTCCTCCCGAATACGTATACGCACACCTCTCACCCTAAACTATGTAGAGTCTTAAGAATTTCCCCACTGAATTGGGTGAATATGCTTATAATGGCGTTCACTATTTTCAATGTTCTTTGAATAGAATAACTCTAGTATTGGAACGATACTATTTTTGCTTACTCACAAAATATATACATATGCAAAAAAACGAATCAACATTTTTCACTATTAGAAATCACATCAATTTTTTTACTACATGCTATCAAAACTGAATAAAATATAAATCATGTTGAAGTTTAGTTAGTTCCACTCTATTATCGATTGATGTACACAAATCTGAAAATTCTTATATACATATATCCATTCTCAATGAATACAAATAACAGAGGATACAAATATACAAGTACAGCTCGAATACGCATCAGTTTCGATGATTATAGATTCCTTCACCTTGCATAGAGAGCATTAGTAATAGTAAGTAAATACACACATGGTCAATGCTCTAATGACAAAGTGGTTTAATCAATGGCCTGTACTTGAATATAGAGACAGTCTATATAGGTATAGAAGTCTGTGCATGTATTAGAACACAACTGTACATGGCAACTCTCTATATAGATTTCAAGGTTTCGACACGAAAACAATTCCTATCAGCTGTCTGTGGATGTGTGTGTATGTGTGTGTGTGTTTGTGTCGCAATTACTTTCATCACTGATTTAAATAAATAATATTAAAAATTTCTGCACCAATTCCGATTATAATTTGTAGAATCCATATATAGCGCACACATTATCTGCGCTGCCCAATGGCAAGCTCTCTAGGTCAAGAAGCGATCTGCCTTAAGTCCGAATAGAGCTCGGCGTTATCAATGGGTGTCTGGGCGACTTGTTTGGTTTTTAAAGCGCGTTCCCATCGCCGCTGTTCATTAGTAGAAATTCAGGCGCGGGTCTCGCACGGTTTAACGCAGTGTGAAACAATTTCCAAAGTACAAAAAACAAACTCAATATGAGATCTATATTGGTGCTGGCTCTGTGCCTGGGCGTGGTCTGTGCAGGTAAAGAGCTCCTTTAGCCCCCCCCTCCCATACAGTGCAATTAAAAGTGAAAGAATAAATCAGAAAGCAAAAGAGATCCTTACATCATATCATGCGGGAATATTCTCCCACTCTCTCTCTCTCTCTCTCCCTCTCTCTTTCTTCGTCTGTGTTTCGGCTGACGTATCACACGATTACGCATTATTTCTGTATGAACTTTTTATACAACACGGAATTGTGCAACGTCTCGTTGCAGGCATGTGTCGAGATAAGAGATTCCAGTTTCCCAATTAGAATTACAATCAATTTCATGGAAATGCAATGAGAATAATGCCTTTTCTTTCTTCTAATTCTCTTATAGATTTTGAGAACAGGTAAGTTGATCCCACTTGAGAGACTGTCCTTTGGAATAACTTTTCTTTTGGTAACGAATGTCTAGAAGCAAACGGGACGATTTCCACAGTCGGTAAGTGCCGTGCGGCGTAATTGAAGATCTCATTTTATGCTCGGCTAAAATTGAAACTTTCAATTGGCAACATGGTACTAACCCACTCAAAATTCAAGAAATGTAGGAAAAGCACACTAATCTATTTTGAAGCTGAACAAAATTGAATATTATGCGTGCTCAGAGTTGTTGCATAATCTTCATCCAATTAGACGGAACTGCAATCTAATTAGATTTACACCCACAGCCACTACACCGCCCATCAGCAGGCAATCGAAGCGGCGCGCAGGAAGGCCTACGGCTCGAGTGGCAGCTTGGGAGTAGGAAGCAGTGCGGACCTGGCGGTAGGCGGTGCCTCGTTGGGCAGCCTGGAGAGCTCCTACGACTCGGTGGGTGCCGTCGAGGGTGCGGAGAGCAGCAGCAGCGGTGCCGGCAGCGGCAGCGGCAGCGGCAGCGGCAGCCTAGGCGCCAGCTTAGGAGGCGGTGTTGGCTTTGGTGCCAACAATGCGGCCGCTTTTGGTGCACAGAACGCGGCTTCGTTCGGCTCGAACAGCGCCTTCTCCTCGAACTCCGCCTTTCAGACGAGCCACAGTGCCAACTTCAACGCGGCCACCGCTCACAGTGTCGGCAGCAACGTGGAGTTCGCGGATGCCAACAATGCCGGCACTGAGGTCAACTTCGGCGGTGTCGGAGCTACCAACTCCGAGTCGCTGCTCTCCGGCAATCTGCAGGCACCTTTGGCCATTTCAGCGCCTGTCGCCAGTGGCGGAAATGTGGAGTACCTGCACCACGAGCGCGTCGTGTCCAGCGCACCGCAGCAGGTGGTCTACACGGTGCCCGGCGG